ATAGATAGATAGATAGATAGATAGATAGATAGATAGATAGATAGATACAGGAATTTAAAGTAGGTTGGTTGTTAGGTTGAGGTTTCTTTTATTTTCAGTGTAAAACTATTCCAGCAAAATTACCATATGATTTGTAGCTATAAACTTAATGCTCCATCTGTACATACCGGTAGATTGTTGGATGAGAAACACTTTGATCTATGCTTTAGGAATGAAGATGCCAATTTAATCTGTTTAGCACAGTCCTTCATGCATTTCTCCCTTGTGATTTTGGAGAGCATTACGTGAGATGACAGAGATCAGAAAATACTGTGTGCACTCACAGTGGACATTCATTCACAGGCACAAAATTGTTTTCTAATCAGATATTGGGTATTGAAATCTTGGCAGAGGCCATAAATAAAATCCATCAGCATCTTAGGGTTCTAATTCTATGATTCAAAATTTAAAAGCATATTAGCTTTATCAACCTCAAATTAAAGTTCCAACTGTAAACAGTTTAGTTTGCAGCTTCAAAGTTATAGAAGTTTTTGCATTGAGACATGCATAAAAATAGATGCACTCCTTTTTCAGTATCCCTAATGAATTTTTCTCAGTCATATTCTGTCTCAAACCTCATTCTTGTACAATCATAAGTTGGGTTTCAAATAGAGCTTCAGCATTGCAGAAATTGCCTGTTTGTTATGTAGACTTTTTGAAATAACTTAGGTTGTTCATTAATAATTTCTCCTTTTTTGTTGTTTAATTTCTAGGCTCCAGCTTACCATCTTATTTTAGAAGGTATTCTGATCCTATGGATAATCAGACTGCTTTTCTCTAAAACATACAAACTTCAGGAGCGATCTGATCTTACACCTAAGGTCTGGATTTCTAAAATTCTCTCTCTCCCCACCCCCCTTCACCTACTCACCCATCCACACAGATACACAAACATATATATAGTGGCTATAGAAAGTCTACACATCCCTGTTAAAATGCCAAGTTTTTAAAATCTAAAAAATCAGACCAAGATAAATAACTTCAGAATGCTTTCTACCTTTAATATAACACATAAGCTGAACAATTCAATTGAAAAACAAACTAAAATATGAATAATGCCAAAGGGACATTTATTGTAGTTGCTGCAAGAAGCCCTGGATGCAATAGATGCATATCTATTGTTGACCAGTCAGTGTCAAGCATTGAAAAAGGAGGATTATCTCCTTTTCATGGTATAATTAATTTTATACAGTTAGTTATTTCTAGGCATAGTTGGATTTTAATGTTAAAATTTTATGTGCTGTTTCATAAAGCATACTGGCTAGTTAACTTACTAATGTATTCTAAAGTTGTGTAAAAGTTGCGCAAAAAAGTTTTGTAATTGATGAAACAACTAATCAGTATTTCTAATATTCTGAGGAAAACTATGAATTATATAAAGGAGAATTTGATTTAGGGGAATGACATACAACTTCATTTGGTAGATTTAAAATGAACATGATTTCAATTTCACTAGCTTAATCTCTTTTAGTTCTTACAAAATGTGTCTATCTCAACAGCTTAGCCCCAACTTTTCATTTTTTTCATAATAAATTGGAATTGGAAATGCAAGTTCAAGTCCACTCTCAGCTAAAAATGCTAGCACCTTGGACTACAGTAATATAGGAGAAGAAGAGGCAAAGCATGAGGACAGTGTTGAGAGGAATCAGCTTGGAGTTATTACATTCCCACAAATAATCCAAGTGCAGGCCCCCTTGAATTCCATTAACTCTTATCTAGGGTCAGTTTGGTGTTGACTGTTAGTTGAGTAGATTCTGGTACAGAGGCATGAGCAATAACTCAGCTCAATTGGAACTTAACATGTGATTCTGATTCTTCTCACCTGACAAGTCATTTTCTCTCAGGTCAACTTCCTTCATAGGATTGTTGTTATAAAGGAAAATTGAAGGAGGGTCTGCTATATATGCCATCTTGAGCTCTAGGAGTAAAGGCAGGATGTATTTATTATTGAATAATACATCACTCAGTACTTCTATTTCTGTTTGTAATAGGAAAAGGAAGAGTTGATTGAAGAATGGCAGCCAGAACCTCTTGTTCCTCCAGTACCAAAAGATCACCCAGCACTAAACTACAACATTGTTAAAGGGTAAATTTGGATTATCATAATTTCATATTTTACTTAACAGCCCAGGTTTTTTTTTACATGTTAACATGAACTATGACTGTTTGAAAGTGTATACTTCTAGCAGATGTGTTTAGGATTGTGAGCTTGATCACTTTGTAGAATAATTATTGATTGTTATCTTGCAACTTCAGAGATCCGGGTTCAGCATAAATTTAAATTCTAAAGTTAGACTTGAGTTGTAAAAGGTTATCAAATAGGCATAGTAAATTACTTCATTTTTATCATTGTGCTTAACAGATAAAATAAGCATGTCTGATGGCCCTTCAGAGTCCTGGTGAAAGGAAAAAAAATCTGTTTTCTTTGGAGTTGGAATAGATTGTCTCAGAAGTTGAGCTAAATTGTTATAGGTTTGGTTAAACTAAAACTGAACACTTTTTAGTTGTTTCAAACGTTGGCTAAAAAGAAGTTTGGGCGGATCTCACAGGGCAAACAAGACCATCCTGGTATGCTCCACCGATTTCTAATTGGTTATGCCTTGCTTCAGACATGGTGCCTAGCTGCCTGCTCCCCCCTCAATCTTCTTTTCTAATATATCCCTTTAAAGGGGATGGGCCAGTTGGATACCAATCCTCTGAAACACCTGCCTAGAATTCATATATTTTGGACCTGTTTTCTGTTTTGGTCACCTGGAATCAACTGTTCTGGATACTGAATGCATAGAATAAATAATTTACATGTTCCTGTTATTAATTTACTAAAAGATTATTAGAACTAGTAATTCCAGATTTACCTAATTAAATTTTTCAGTAATAACAGGCAATATCTATTTAAAAGGTATTAAATCTCAGGATGACAGGTAATTTTAGATACTCATGAATGGTATTTTCTATTCTATACTTACTTCCCTGTTAATTGAGTGGTAGAGCCTGTGCTTTGCCTGTAGGACATCTGAGATTCAAAATTTGCACATAACACTGCAAAAACTCTACCTACAGTCCTGGCAACATGCTGCTAGCCAGTGTAGACTATATTGGATTAGATGAATTAACAATATGACTTTGGTAGCTTTGTTTTTTTCTAATAAACATGGAAAAGGGAAAATCTATTTATGTAATATTTAAAAGGACAGTTTCTATAATAAAGGGGGATTTTAACTGCTGCTCTTTTCTTAAACTAATTCTCTACCATAAGCATCAAATATTTAATTCATCCTTTTTTTTCTTTCAATTTTATATAAGCCCACTTAAATTGAACCTACTTTCTGAAACAATGCTTAGATGCTACGCTTTCTAGCTCCAATTGAATTAATGGAGCTTCATCATAATTAAGCATATGAAGATTATACCTTTAAACACTAAATTTTGAGGATGCTTGTTGACTGCGCCATAAATTTAAAAAGTCACAGGAATATTAGTATACCTCTAAACAGTCTTTCTGTTCTTAGTAACATTATCTCTTCACGTTTTTATATAAATATGCCATATTCTATTTGTATTTCCTTATGTTACTCTTTATCTGTTTAAGTCAGGAAAAATTCTGAGCAATTCAAAGTTTAGTCACTTTAAAATAAATGCCAAGGTGTTTTTGAGAATGCCATTTTATATAAGTAAATGATATGCATGGAATATATCAGCATGATGAATATAATATTAATATATCTAGCCAGTATGTGGCTAGATTTATTCTAAATCTTCGGCTTTGTCACGTGATGGCCACACCCATGCCCGGTTTAGCAAAAGGGGGAAGAGTTGTGATGCCTCACATGACAAAGCCGTAACAATGTGAGCAGAATAAGTGCCTTTTGATACAGGATTGCATCATGTCTTAAAAAGAAAAATACTACATTCTTTAAAACAGTGTATAAATGATCTCAAACAATAAATGGCAACATGACAAAATTATGTTATTTTGAAGAATTCAGTACTTATATGGAGTATCTTAATAAATTGCTATGCTGAATTAGTTCTAATTTTCAGACATACTATAGTCTTTTTCAGTTATAGAGAACAAAATTCATGGACATATTTAATGACACAGGCATTCAAGAAGTGCAATCTTCCAAACATTCTTAATGAAATTAGAATACCTAAACTTTCATGAATGATTTGAATAGTGAATTAGACCAAACTTAGATTTTAGTATATTTTTATTGTACTTCAAAATAAAAGATAACTGACAAATACAAAAAAACCACTAAAATATTCAGTGAAATGAAATTATCTTTAAACAATGTAAAAATAACAGAAACCAAACAAGAAAATAATAAAATCTTTAATGTGTTGGAAATGCAGCTCCTACAACTTCTAAAATGCTACTTGGGAATATTAAGAACTTCATCCTGAACATAATCTGGAAAAATTATGAAAATGAAAAATAGTCATTATAAATAATGAAACTTGCTGGTTTAGAGAAAGTAAGCCTGTTAATAGCAATTGATTGGTGGCTTGAAATTTGGCTGTTGTGCATCTGATCTTCATTTCATTTGGAAGAACTTTTTGGTGTGCTGTTATTTAGAGCTGTTGCACCAAAAGTGATTTCTATTTAAAGGAAAAGGTCAGAATGAGTGCTGGGCTAGTAAAACTATGGTTTATGTTCTAAGAGTAGTTGCAATCCTGTTATCACACATTTTTAATATTATGATTTATGTTGCACAATTCTTTGATATGCTAATGTACATCAGCTAAATGTGGAGTTGTATGCTTTTTAATGTGATTGAAGGGGACAAATATTAAATGTCCATGGATAATTTTTACTTTACATTAGTTAAGATAAATATAAATATATAAATATAAGGTACATCACATTTTATTTTTCTCTTGATCACTCATTTCTTCCCTTCTGGCTTTACTTTTTTACAATATTCACCATATATTACATATGGTTCTCATCCTGAAATGTGCATGCAGCCCTTAGTTTAATGGAAGACATTCGGGTTCTTGAGAAACTCTGAAGGTTCCATAAAACCGTTTGGAAAAAATAATCACATTTAAATATGTTGCATGCATGTGCATGCTGGATGGGTTCAACAAGCTGCTTCTATGTGAATAATGAAAGGAGATGTTGCAATGGCAGCCAAAAGCATTGCCTGTCAACTCTCTTCTGAGCACAAGTCTGCCCAATTTTAGTGATTCTTGTGAATATCAAAACTGACTGGCAGGGATGAAATTTTTTCCTTGGAATCTAAGCCAGAATGTGTGGCAATATGTATTGAATGGCATTTTAATAAATTAATGTAGAATATTCGTAAGATTGCTTCTTGTTACAGTCTTTTGCTAGATGATTGCTTTAGAATGAGTTTTCTCTCTAGTTTATTTGACTGACTATTTAATGTCTTCGCTTGAATTGATTCTTTCAGAGATTTAATTAATATTAATTCATCCCTTAATCCTTGAATTAAGCAGTGAAACAAATTTTTAAACACACTGAATTTTCTTAAGTGGCAGGATAACCATTCCTTAGTATGTAATTTTGATATTAGGGAACATTTATTATATTTTCTGATAGCATTATTGTTACTCAACTAAAATACTTCTCTTTCAAAAAAATTAAAAATGTTCCCAAAATTCTGAAAAAGTATTCAAAGAAAAATATAAAGGGTCATTATCAGCAATTAAGAGGTTCCTTTGGAATTTAGCAACAGATAAGTGAGTCATTAGAACAAAGTTGTTTGTATTAATAGCATAAAGAATAAGTATTCTTAACTATAAATCTCTACATCAAACAGTATCCCCATATTTAGATACAGTACTAAATGAGGAGACTACTGTTGTTTTCTATATTCAACAATACTTTGAACTTCTAAATCTGCTAGTTCTCCAAATTTGTTTACTTTGCTTTTTTTTTTTTCATACTTTAAGGCCTCCAACTCACAACATTATCGTCAATGACAAGGAATGTATAAACTTTGCATCATTTAATTTTCTTGGGCTTTTGGATAATGAAAGACTTAAAGTAAGTACCTCCATAGATCTCACTATGTAGCCTTATTGTTAAAAGAACTATTTGAATTACCCATAGACACTTATAATCTTTTAGAATGTAATTGTGATTACTATTTTTCCTCCTTGTATAAAACCTGTGTTGATTTCTCTTAGTATTACATTCACTTACAAAAGGGCGTTTAGAGCGCACGTGGGGGTCATAGGTTCTACCCAGAAAAAACAAACAAACAAGGATAATTTGCAGTAATAGGAAGTATTGTGTTATACTAAAGAGAAGTTAGTCTACACATCACCATTTAGATTATGGTAAATCAAGTCTCATTTTCAAAATAATCCAGCAGCCCTGTGGCAGTGAGAGTGTCCATAGCATTCCTGCCTGCATACATACATAATTATATTAGTCCCTGTTGGATAAGCAATATTATATAAGGTAGAGAAATGGAGTTAGATGTAGTAAACAAAAAGATTAAATAAAAGAAAAAATGTAACTAAATCTAAATATACTACACCAGGCACTGTACCTTTTTGTATGTTTTGTCTTTTCAAACTAGTCTTGCTTCTGCCATGTCTGTATTCATACATATAATAATGCAAATATCTTTTTTTTTAAAAAATACCATTTTAAAAAATGTAAATAGAAAACACAGTGGTGAATACTTAAAATGATATTTCATTGTGCTGGAGATGCATTCCTTTAATGTTCAGATAGTTATATTGAACAATATTCTTGACTAGCAAAAATTAATAGTTGAAAGATTTTTAAAATGGAAAGCATTCACAAATACAACCATAATCACCTTTTTTTGTTATTTTTATTTGACACAAAAAATGACAGTGTACACAGCAAATGAGATAACTTATGTTGGGTTTCATATCACAAATCACTAGTCGAACATTTCCTAAGTGTTTAGGACTGCATGATGTATCGGTGGATTATGTGAGCAGATCCCAGTAAGGTGGCCTTCTGCAGCTGACCAATGGTGATTTTGTTAGCGCCAATTATTTTTAAGCGCTTGCCTAGGTCTTTAGGCACAGCACCCAGTGTGCCAAGTATCACTGGAACCACCCGCACTGCTTTATGCCAGAGTCTGTACAGTTCAATTCTCAAGTCCTGATATCTGGTGATTTTTTCAAGTTGTTTCTCATCGATTCTGCTATCACCAGGTATAGCAATTTCGATGATCCACACTTTTTTCTTCTCCACAATCCGGGATATTGTGTTCCAAAGCTTTGTCTATTATTATTGTTGTTGTTGTTATTGTTATTATTATAAATATTAGGAGGGAGTGTTCACTTTATTGGTGATCCATGCATTTTCCAAATGTTTATTTAGTGGTCTACATGTATAGACATTATGAGAAAGACTGGAAAAAATAAAGAAACCAAAATGATATTCTTTAAGGCATCAGGCAAAAGTTTTATTCTTTACACACACAAGTTAAAAGTTGTACGTTATATGTAATAAGTTACATCTTCTATACCTGCAATCTAATCATTTTAGTGTTCTCAAACATTTATGATTTCCTTTTAATCCGCCTTTTAATTCTGCTTTTCAATATTAGAATGCGTTCACAAATTTTTAAAATATATCTATCATCAATTTCATTTGAATTTCATAGTAAATTATTTCATTTCTTTAATTTGTAATGCTATGAACTCTTCTCTTTGTCAGTCTCCCCCCCCCCCCCAAACTTCTTGAACAATGTTTATTTCCCTCAGAATCATAGGAAAGAATGTTACCTCTTCACTATTTTTCCTAAGATTCTCAAAATTCTATCCACACATGTTATGTGAAATGATAGGATGTCAGAATGAAAAGAAAAGTCTCTCTGATCCCACATATTATCTTATATCAGCTCCAAGAGGTTAATGAGGAATTGAGGAATGCAGAGAAGTTACATATAATAATAGCGGTAACATAAAAGAAATACTGTACTGTATACCAATGTAGTAATGATTTTATTCTACAATATAATTACATGTAATATGATTTTCTTCTTATACCTCTTTAAAGAATGCAGCCCAAGCATCTCTGGCAAAATATGGTGTTGGCACATGTGGCCCTAGAGGATTTTATGGCACTTTTGGTAAGTATTGCATCTTTTTCAATATAGATTTGAATGTAATAATAACTACTTTGATTTTAACATTACAAGAAAGAATTGAAGCTGGGAAGGCCTGGTGTTAAATTGTTCTTACTGTTTAAAGAGATACTTCTGAAGTTCTTTTCTTTACAATAACCTTGGTTTTTAACCAACCTGAATAATTTAGTGTATTTGTAAACTTTGACATTGCTGCTTTTCCTAAAGTCAGGATAATTAGTGAGCAAGTTAATAAGCATTGTCCTTACTGAGATTCTTAAGGCTGCATAGAAACTTTAAAATAATTATTAATCTCCATTCTTAACCTTCCTCCATTTAGAAAATTGCCTGTTTATTCCTATGATATTATTACTATAGTTGATCACACAATAAGTCTGATGTTTAGACTCAATTTGATATTTTAGCCACTTAACAAGTTCTTCCCAAGGGCCTGGGATGATGATGGTAATGATAATGATGTTATATACTACTGCTTTTTATATATTTTGACCAACTGAAGTGTGCCTAATACTCTTGCCTCCTATTTTGTCCTCAACAACAACCGTGTAACCCTTTGAGATGTCTTAGGCTGAGAAAGAGTGACTGGCCTAAAGTCACCCAGCTGGCTTCATGCCTAAGGGAATCCTAGACATGACAGTCTCCTGGTTTCAAGGCCAAGACCTTAACCACAACACTATACAGGTTGTCTTTATTCCTAATTGTTATTTTCTTTAGCCCATTATCAATCCATAAAAGGGCATGCCCTCTTCTACTATTTCTAGGTTTAATCAAGAGCAGTTGATGGATGGAGAGAAAGAGACTTTGTCAAGGCTTTAAAAAAAATTCATACACATCCCACCATCAGTTGTCATGTAACTTTCTGCATACTGCTGTTTAGTCAAAAATGCTGGATAGCATGTTGATATGCCCTCCTTATGATCTTGATGAAGATTTATTTGCTTTTTGTTTAATTTCCATAGCTGTGGGTGTATTATATAGGGAGATTTAAATGTGTTAAAGGTTGAAATTTCTATTATTGCAGTGTTGTGTTCAGAGAGACCACAAGAGGGCAGTCTACTGACTGGCTTTAAATTAATTTTTTACATAGTAAGGCAAATACTTTAAAATAATATATATTGTGATGATCATGGTATTTTAATTTAGGCTTGAAGTGTAAGATTTTTGTAGTACAAATCCTAATATGAAAATCCCAATCTATGCTTAATCACAAAATACCCTGAACATCTGTTTATAGATAATACTATGAAACTAAGCATTCACTTTATCTTCATGGACTGATTCTCTGGAAGTATACGTCTTGCAAATGTTTTTATACATGATTAAAATGGTTTCCATGATGTCATGCCAAAATATTCAGGTCTTGTTGCTGTTCGGCTGCTAAATTGTGTCCCACTCTTCACAATCCCATGACCATAGCATGGCAGGCTTCACTGTCTTCCCCTGTCCCCCGGAGTTTGCCCAAATTCTTGTTCATTGTGTCAGTGACATTATCTAAACATTTCATCCTGTTTCTCCTTTTGCCTTCAATTTTTCTTTTCTTTTTTTAATAATTTTTTTTATTTTTTATCTTTTATAAAACATCTCATTAGGTGAACAAGATTCCAGATTTTACATTTCCATACAAAGGTGACCATAATTACATACCGACTTTTATGTCCAAATTAAATCATATTATTACTTATTACCTTTTTCTTTAAATAATTTCATACATTATTTAACAATATTTTCCCTATTATTCAATTTCTATATTCATTGCTATTATATTATACAATCTCATTTCATATTGTAGCTTATTTCATTTTTCTTTAAAAATTCTCCTGTCATGTTAAACGTTATCTACATTCTTATTCAATTTCTATAATAATTATACACATATTCTTACATCTGTCACATTTGCAATTTTTTCCACGTACAATTATTTGAATCAAAGGGTTTTCCCCTTTTATTACCAATTCGAGCTTGCCATCCCTTTACTTATATATTTTCCCCATTTACTCCCTTTAACCCATATAAAGATTTATAACAATATAATCATAATAGTCCCTTAACTACTACTGGGTAAATATATATATATGTATGTATGTATGTTATGTATGTATGCATGCATGCATGCCTGTTTTGGCGTGTTTGGGTCTTTTCCCGTGTAAGATTGAGAGTATCTTGGCAATGTTTCGACAAGATCCCATCACCATCTTCAGGCTGGTGCTTTCGGCTTCGTGCCTGTGCGAGCAAAGCGTGATCGGAGCTGCCGTCTCTCTATAAATACTGGTGGGGAGGTGTGGTGTGCTGGCTCTGTTGTAAGTGGGCTGGTTGGCTGTGTTGTTATTTCTTGATTGGTTGATGGAGTTGATGTTTGCAGATTGGTTGGCTTTTTCATAGAACCTGTGTGGCTGAGGTACTGGCTGTGTGTCTATCAGCCTCCTGTGTTGTAACAACTGGGTAATGGGCTGTGTGATGACCTTCTGAGTTCTATTGTTGTGACATCCTGAGTCTTGTGCTGTAATCTCCTGGGTCGTTGGCTGTGTTGCAACATCCTGAAGTTTTGTGGTGTAGCCTCCTGAGTTCCGAGATGTGATATCCTGAGTGGATGGCTGTGATGTATCGTTCCGGGTTTTGGTTTGGCTTCGAGTTTGAGGTCTGGCTATGTATTTATGGCATGTGTCAGTTTGCTTAGTTTGGGGGTCGGGATGTATGCAGCTGGTGATGCAGCTGTGGTCTGGTTTCTGGACGGTGGTTGCCTTTCGTCTATGGGATGGGTTTGGGTTTGAGTCTGGTGAGGGAGATTGGTGGTGGTGTCATGTGTTGTTTTGAGTCTGGTGTTAGTTTTCATGGCTGGTACTCATTTGTTGATAAGGGCTAGCTTCCAGATGTCTGGTAGGCAGGAGGTATCATCCCGTTTATTCATGTTATTGGGGTGTTTTTCTATTTCGATGGCTTCCCTGATTATTCTCTTGTTGAAGTGTTCAGTATTGGAGATTACTTTGGTTCCCTCAATAATTAATTTCATGTCCTGTGGCTTTAAGGTACTGGAAAAAGGAGGAAGTATCTCCCTCACCAGACAGAAACCAAGATACTCTCAATCTTACACGGGAAAAGACCCGAACACGCCAAAACCTGCATACTTGCACCCGTGAAAATCTACAAGTGTGTGTGTGTGTGTGTGTGTGTGTGTGTGTGTGTAATGTTTTCTGAGGTTTTTACGGGTATTTGTATGTGGATCTTTGGTTATTCGGGTTTTCTCCCGTGAAAAATTGGAAGTATTTTGGCGACGTTTCGATGAAATCTCATTCGTCATCTTCAGGCTTGTGTCTTCGGCTTTGTGCTTCTTGGAGTAATGTGAGCTTGCAGCTGTTTTTTCTTTTAACTGCCAGTGGGAGTGTGATGACTGGGTGGGGGCTTGGCTGTGTTCTGATTGGGTGGGGGTGTGTTCTCATTGGTTGGGGGCCTGGCTGTGATCTGATTGGGTGGGGGTGTGTTCTGTTCAGGTGGGGGCTTGGCTGTGTTCAGCTTAGTCTTAGTTGTCGGTGGATTTGAGCTGGTGAGCTGTGATCCTGTTGTTTGGCTTCGTGGTCGTGCCACATCATGTTGGGCGTCAGTTCACTTAATGTATGGGTCGGAGGGGTTTGAAGTGGGTAGTGATGCAGCTGCGGTACGGCTTCTGGTCTGTGTTCGTGTCTCATCATCTGTGTGGGTGTGAATCTTGTGTAACATCTTGTGTGGCCTTCATGGGTGTGGGTCTGGTGTCATTCTTCATGTTAGGTACTCGTTAGTTAATGAGGGCGGGTTTCCAAATGGCTGGTAGGCGGGAGGTATCTCGTTTATTCATGCTGTGCGGGCGAAGAGGTCGGTTCTTCTTTTTTGATTGAGTTCTTGTGTTCTTCAATGCGTGCACTAATTCTCAATCAAAAAAGAAGAACTGACCTCTTCCCTGGTCCAGCACCTCAAAGCCACAGGACATGAGATTGACTTTAAAAATACCAGAACTATCGCCAAAACTCAACACTTCAACAACAGAATAATCAGAGAAGCCATAGAGATAGAAAAACGCCCACACAGCATGAATAAATGAGATGATACCTCCCGCCTATCAGCCATTTGGAAACCCGCCCTCATTAATAAACAAGTACCTAACATGAAGAATGACACCAGACCCACACCCACGAAGGCCACACAAGATGCTACACAAGATTCACACCCACACAGATGATGAGACACGACTACGGACCAGAAGCCGTACTGCAGCTGCATCACTACCCGCTTCAAACCTCTCCGACCCATACATGAAGCGAACTGACGCCCAACATGAAGATGTGGCACGAACACGAATGCGAAGCCAAACAACAGGATCACAGCTCACCAGCTCAAATCCACCGACAACTAAGACTAACCTGAACACAGCCAAGTCCCCACCTGAACAGAACACACCCCCAGCCAATCAGAACACAGCCCCCCCAACCATTCAGATTGCAGCCAGGCCCCCAACCAATGAGAACACACCCCCACCCAATCAGAACACAGCCAAGCCCCCACCCAGTCAAGTCACACTCTCACTGGCAGTTAAAAGAAAAAACAGCTGCAAGCTCACATTACTCCAAGAAGCACAAAGCCGAAGACACAAGCCTGAAGATGATGAATGAGATTTCATCGAAAGGTCGCCAAAATACTTCCAATTTTACGCGGGAGAAAACCCGAATAACCAAAGATCCGTGTGTGTGTGTGTGTTTTCTTAAGTTTTCATGGATATTTATATGTATGGTATTCAGCTTTGTTTGGGTATTTTCCCACGTCATTATAGTTGTGCTTTTAAAGTTGTAGCGACGTTTCGTCAGAATGTCATCCTGATGATGGCAAATGAGTTTCTGCCAAAACATCGCTACAACTTTAAAAGCACAACTATAATGACGCGGGAAAATACCCGAACAAAGCTAAATACCATGCAAACATACATACATACATACATACATACATACATACATACGATTCCACATAGTATATTCCCTTTATTATATTCTAATCATCTATTTATTCAAAAAAAAAAAAAGACAGTTACATACTAACTTTATATTCCATATCTATTTCAAATTACATTTATATCTAGACTGCCATGATAAGTGTTCATGCCTAATTGACCTTAGCTGATCTCTGAAAGCTAGCCAGGTTCTGATCTGACTAATTTGTAGATAGAACTTTAAGAGAAATATCAGGGAGAGTCATGAGGTTGGTAAAAACAATCCTCGAAAGCAGCAGGTGTAATCACTTCCACATTTTTGCCAAGAAAATTATTTGGTTGTGTTTGTAATGTCATTAAGTTAATTTGTCAAATTAGTGGGTGGTAATAAAACTCATTTGAATTCCCTTGTTGAGGTTAAAATTTGGGATGAAACTTGATTTTTAACTATGTTCAACATTGATTACAGCATAGATAACTTTAAAACTATATAGATTCAATATGGGATGACTTGCATGCCTTCTGAGATGAATTATCTCATCTTTTAAATGAAAATTGTCATCGTCTCAACTTCTAATGGGTCCTTGTTCCCAAGGTTAGTTTGGATAATTCTGCTATTGTTGCATGGGGGATATTTAAAGAAGACCTTCATAATTATAGCTGCATATAGCAATTGGGTTTTCTTTGTTTTTTCCTTGAAGACGTTCACTTCTCATCCAAGAAGCATTTTCAGTTTTGAAAAGCATCTTTGGGATAATAATAGTGTCACATTTTCAATACTAAAGAACTTTGAAACTTGCTTAGGTTTTTCGTTGTGTCAGTAATCTTTAATACAGTATTTGTGAGATTTTAAAAATCTTTTAAAAATTTGTTCATAAATGTGTGAACACTTCCTAAATAGATGTGCATTTGGAACTGGAGGAACGACTTGCCAGATTTATGAAGACCGAGGAAGCTATTCTATATTCCTATGGATTTGCTACAATTGCCAGTGCTATTCCTGCCTATTCAAAACGGGGCGACATTTTGTTTGTGTATGTACACATTCCTGATATTAAAAAGACAAAAAAAAAACCAATCTGGAAAGAATTCTAGTTGTTAAAGATTAAATGTTTAAACATCAATTTTATGATCAAGTAAGATTACAGAATGTATTAATTAGTATATGGTTACTTAATAAGCTTTTTCATAGGAAAAATGGTTTTAGTAAAATTATGGATAATTTTTCAAAGCCGTTTTAAATTATTTAAGTTTTATTTAAGAACTCATTTGATCTTGTCAGTTTCAAAGCACTGCCTTGATACTTTTAGATGCTTGTTAAACTACAATTTTAATCATTTATGAAATACTTTTAAAATGACTACTTCTTACAATAGATTGCTGTTTCAAAATAAACTCTTTTAAAAATTACTAGCAGCTGTTCAAATGCTTTGTCAGTATTCCCATAGGATATAGCTAAGGAAAAAGTGCAGTTGACAAGAGTGATTAAAATAAATTAATATCAGACAAGAATTTCATCTAGGAAAACGTTGTTAAATTGCTTATGTTTGTGCCAAGTCTGTAACTATAATATCATGTATGTTTTCAAAAGTAAATACAACTCAGTTCAATTAATTTTGTTCTCAAGGTGTGTAGGATTACAACTTTTATATTTTTTTCTGATTTGTGAAACCTAAAAATGCATAAACTTTGCTGTGCCCAAGGGCAGCATTTGAATGTTGACGGGAACCTCATTTCAAAAGTATTGAAGCCAGTCAAATAATCATTTTTCCCTTCAAACCCCACCAAAGGCAATAGACTCAGATTATAATAAAACATAATATCTATATAACTAAAACCTAATATCAATGAATCAATTAAAATTAACAGTAAAATTGATTAAAATTAGAATTAAATTGCAAAAAAAAAATAGGCCTGAAGGCACAGTGAAATATTTATAAGGAAAGGACAAAAAGTAAATTTGATTTATTTCACTGTAACTAAAATTCATTATAGTTCAAAAGTTCTGTAGCCATATTTGGGGAAAGTTTGAGGGACTACCCTTAGGGGCTTTGGAGGCAGAATGTGATCCTTGGTGCAATTCATTATAACCCTTGGTGCAGTTGATTGCATTGAATGATTGTAATCACTAAGAATTGCCCAGTAATAATAATTCATCCTTACTCATAATCAGTAATCAGCAAGGTAGAAGACTACAAATAATCTTTAAAGTATACATTTAATTTACTGTTTCTGAGGTCCCACCCTCACCTCAGGGAGAAAAATGTTCATTGATGAAAAGGCCTGCTGTGAAAGGCCTGCCAGTTGTATCTCCCTAAATGGCATAACCCATAGTATGCCCTCTATTGATGTGAGATATGATGTCATATATCATATCATAAACTTGGAAAAATATGTCTTTTATAGAAGGATTTTTAAAACTGTTTCCTTAACAATTATTGAAACCATAAGCTATAGGTTTTCCTTTTTTTTAACCAATTGCACAATACTTTGATTTGCCTCTCTAACATGCCAGCATAGGCAAAAGTTTTCCTTTTTAAGAACTTTGCCTACATGGTTTGCAGAAATATAACAATGCTTCATAACTCTTTAATGCCTAAACATAGTTCCATTAAAAGTAGGAACACGAGTATAGAAAATAGTTAGACAACACATCAATATCTTAGCACGCATTGTGGGGAAACTTCAGTCTTTTAAGAGTTAGCCGAACCATGAGTGAACTGACATAATTTATTGTGTATTTACAGTGATGAAGCAGCCTGCTTTGCTGTTCAGAAAGGGTTGCAGGCATCCAGAAGTAACATTAAGTTTTTTAAGCATAATGATATGGATGATCTTGAGCATCTATTACAAGAGCAAGAGATTGAAGATCAAAAGGTATTGGGTTTTGGAAGAAATTAGTGTATAACAAGCAACATTTTTAACTAAATAGCATATTTGAATAACCATTTTTCATTATTTTCAAAACCATCCTGAATGGTTACATTTGAAATAGATTTAGGTGGTTTGTTAATTTGGTGATTGAGTTGCTTGGAAAAGACAGTGGTATAACAAACTGGGGAAAAAATCTGCCAGTCAAATTGGATGTAGTTTTCCATTTATTTTATAAATAAATGCATGTGCGCAGCCAAAGCACCACTGATAATGCAGTGTAAAAATGTCAGTAAATTGTTTTGCTCTTGAGAAAAATAGTAGATAGCAATTCTTTGTACCATGCTCCTCCTATGCGTAAAACATTTATTGAAGTAAAACTCCATCAATATTTGTTTTACAAGATCAAGAAAAAAACCACAGTAACCATTTTAATGTTAAAAGAGTGTTCTTCTATATATGGAGAGCATTTTCTCAGTTACAAATAAGCTTATTGCATTTCTGATAAAGTAAACAAATTGATTTTCAAGATTTGATCTGCTTTTGATAACATTTAAAAAGTAAGTTAAAAAGTTGTTTTTCATGAAAATTAATATATATATTCATATTAAATTGTTTGTTTTTCTGCAGAACCCTCGAAAAGCCCGTGTAACACGAAAATTTATTGTAGTAGAAGGGTTGTTTATTAATACTGGGGATATTTGTCCTCTGCCAGAATTGGTAAGTAATTCCTTCTTTTAATATCTAACTAACTTTTACAGACTGTAAACTTAAAAATTAAAAAAGGTAAATTGCTTACTAAAAGTGGAATCGATCTTCTATAAATAGATATTAAGTGTTGTCTTCCCTTTGCCAGTTTTGATGCTGCTGCCAGTAAGATGGTGGCTGATGCAGAGACTGAAGAAGATATTTGGTAATGGCAAGTCAGAAGATAATATTTCTTCTCCTGGTTCTGCTTGTCATTCCCTTCTGTTGGAAAATGTTATTTAACGTTCATATGTTTGCTACAATTCGTCACAGCCAACTCACCACAGGCAATTACACTAATATTTAAAAAATGGTGGAATAGAATAATTAAATAATGAAAGCAAAAGAAGGGACAAAATGAAATGGAAATGACAAAAATTAAAATATTTTTAAATTTATTATAAATCATTAAATTGTCTTGCGGTGAGTTATCTCACAGCATGTTGACCATGGAGAGGTAGCCCTGGTGAAGTGGCCGCAGCAAGTTGGCTGTGACAAGTTGTCCCATTTTGTGGATTATAAGAGTCAGTCTCTGGACTACCCTTGTAGGCAAAGTAGTAAGCCTATTCTACAACCATATGCTTAATGTTCCACTGAAGAAAAGTTGAATTCAGCATCAAATCATTCAGCATTGATCTGTTCTTAAAACTGAGTACCTACTTATGATTTTGAAAAATCAGGTTTAAAATCATAGCTACTTGAAAGGATGATTTCACTAAGTATTGTATAGTTATAATGGAAGAATGTGTCAGTAGCCTCTGTAGCCTAGTACAATTTCCACCAACTTGAAGCAGCAGCAGATTCCACTAATTAAGAAAACGGTTTCACAATTGTCAAGTTTATGTAACATAAATAAATTCAGTTTTTTGGCAAAGAAATATTTCTTCATAGAATATAAACATTGAAAGGTCTGCATTCCTGGGGTCATTTTATACAAGGATGTTGGCTATACATGGTGCTTTTAAAAACATTTCCTATGGTTAGCTATTCAAGAGTCTAGTTTTTTTCCAATACAAGACATGTAAGTGACAAAATGCGTTAAAATATATCTGCATTTTGCAGGATGTCCTTTCAAACTTCAAGGTAACTGGCAAAATAAAATTAAAGTATAAACATCACAAAAGGCAATTTGCTTACTTCCTAAGCAAGCAGCTTTGATGTTATTTTACAAACAAAAAAATGGTTCTAGAAGACATTCAATCTGTTCATTGGCACATAATCAATGGAAATTTACATTTAGCAACTAAAATGCAGGAAGGTTGAATGTCTAGGAAGATTCACAATCATCCAGATCATGGTTGTCCCGAAGGTGCTTTTTTCAAAAGGTGACTAGACTTGTTTTTTCCCCTTTGAAATCATTTCACTTCTCAAACAGGAAGCTTCTTTACTTCTAATTGGATGAGAAGCAAAACCAAGGAAGTCTAATTTGAAAAATGCCTTTTGGGACATGTTGAGTGTTGAGCTGAAGATAGTCAACAGTAGAATATTTTGAGGAGCCTGGTGGCTCAATAGTTAAATGCAGTATTACAGGCAAGCTCTGGCCCCAGCCTGCAGTTTGATCCTGACAGGGCTCAAGGTTGACTCAGCCTTCCATCTTCCGAAGTTGGTAAAATGTAAAATGAGGACCCAGATTATTGGGGGTATATGCAAATCATGCATTATGCAATATTCAAATTCCACATTGTAAACCTCCCATAGAATGCTATAAACTGCTGTCGCGCGATATATAAGCCCAAATGCTACTGCTATTGCTATTTTGATAAATTGTTCCTTCCTGAGCATTCATTAATCATGCATTGCTTTGTGTCATTTTTTAATGCAGGTAAAGTTAAAGTATAAATACAAAGTGAGATTGTTTTTGGAAGAAAGTTTCTCCTTTGGAGTATTGGGAGAACATGGACGAGGAGTTACAGAACATTTTGGAATAAGTGTATGTCATATATAAATGATAGTAGAATTTAATGCTACAACCAGAAAGTAACGTTTTGATCTGGTATCTTATTTATGGTAATGTCTTCAAAGAAAATAAAGAACAGTATAACATGTAGATGGTAGTCTTGTTTGTTGCTCAGTGACCTCCATCCTTGCACTCCTAACTGTGGTTGTTAGGCAGTCTTCCCAGCTGTTATGCGGACAGAGCGAAAGAGCTGCCTGCTGAAGTCCTTTTGCTCTCAAACATTCCTGCAGCCCATTGATGGATTTCAGCTCCCCCTCCATGCACAGAGGGGATATCTTTCAGGAGACTGCATTTCAGAAGGATATGAAAGTTGAGCACCAGTCTCAAATGGAGAAGTGCTATGCTGTCCAAGACATTGATGAAAATGTCCCCAACCCAGGGAGTCAAACAGCCTTAGCTATTCAGTCTTGCCAGGTTTCAGTCAGAGTCTGCCCCATCACATTCAGACTTGAACAGCCTCCAGATATTAGGTCAACAACCAACAATCTCACCTGGGCAATCTGGAGTTCAGCTGTAAAGCAGGCATTGTCAGTATACTGCACCCCAAACTGACAGATAACTTTTAAATTATTCTATGCTGTGCAATAGAAAGAAATGGCACTCTACAAGCTGCCAGAAAATCCTGTTATTTCATGCTGTTTAACTGAAATTGTGGAACCCATGGTTTACAATATAAGTTGTATTTAAACAGTTCATAAAACAAATGTAGCCAATTGTGGGACAGAATAAAATCACTGAATTTGTGAATTTTCCCCAGTGTGGTACTAATGAACATGTTTTTGTTCATAGTATCTGATTTTTTTCTATATATAATATTCTTTTCTAAAGGAGAGAGGAAAATAAACTGAGGTTAGAACAGTCTCAACTACACTTAGCTATTTTAAAGCTTGATGGTAGAATAAGAAACTTCAGATGGAATACATGTGGTAAGAGAAATGTGAACTGTTTTTTCTTTCTGGTACTGTTATTCATAAAGTATTGTTAGTATTTATCTGTACATGACTAAACCCATTGGAGAGTTAGGATTTATTTTCTTACACCTATATGACTGTAACTATGCTTTCACTTTTTAACATTAAGCAATTGGCATTTCTTGTGTTAGATTGATGACATTGATCTTGTAAGTGCAACTATGGAAAATTCCCTGGCTTCTATTGGAGGATTTTGCTGTGGACGAAGCTTTGTTATTGACCACCAGGTATGTGAAAGACCTTGAAAGACAAACTATGACAGTTATATTTTTATGGAGCTCTGTAGCCAATATAAGCATTTATTTGTATGTTTATTTATTGATTGTAACAATTATACCCCACTGCAATCAAATAAGACCTTTGGTGGGTCACAAGATCTATAAAAAATAACTGGGTTGTGGTAAGTCTAAATAAAAACGTGTCATCAATTTAAAAACCCATAAGAATCAGAGACCAAAAAACATGTTGTGCCACATATACACCTGATGGCTGATTCTGCCTTGTGAGCACTCCATGAAATAGCTGTTTTTAACATTTTCATGAATTAGGAAGGTTGCTAGAAGGTTGCTCCAGAGGCCTCCATTGAAAAGCAGCATCATTTAACTCAAACTCCTTTGCAGGTAGTCCTCGACTTATGACTACAATTGAATCCAAAGTTTCCATTGCTAAGCAAAACAGTTAAGTGAGTTTTGCCCCATTTTACAACCTTTCTTAAGCAAATCACTGCAGTTAAGTCAGTAACACAGTTGTTAAGTGAATCTGCCTTCCACATTGAAGTTTCTTTTCAGAAGGTTTCAAAAGTGATCACATGACCCTAGGACACTGCAACCATCATAAAGGCATGCCAGTTGCCAAGTGGCTGAATTTTGATCACTTGACCAGGAGGATGTTGTAGCAGTCGTAAGTGTGAAAAATTGTTGTAAGTCTTCAGTGACATTGTAATTTGGGACGGTCACTAAACGAAGTCAAGGACTACCTGTATTTAATAAAAATGAGAAACTATTAGATATTTTCTCCTAAGATAACCTTTTGGGGAAGCTTATTCCACTTGGAAGTTTTAGATAAACATGAATACACATCCTGTCAATCTTGTACATATTTGCTACAAATTGCTTGCTCTGCATGCTGTCAATTCAGAATTATATCAATTGTTGGCAGGCACTGAACTTTGGGGAAATACTGTGTTGATATCAGATGCTGAGAAGTAGCTTTTATTTGGTATTGAAGAATTGATGCACCTTCCTTGCCAAGAATGAATTTGCCTTGACTTGTTGTAGTAATAGGTGATGGGTGGAGAGAAAATATCACTAGAATAACAGATAATTGTTGTGTTCCTTTTCTGATCCGATGACCTCACTTATCATAGATATTAGGTTTGTTATATTCCCTTTGCAATGACAAGGAAGTTGTGTAGAAGACAGTTGTAATTGCATAGTATTTTTAAATATTGTACATCGAGATTTTTTTGGCATGTTTGAAAGTGATCCATCAGGTCATGTTATATATATAGCTTTTGCTAGTGTTGGCAAAGATGCAGTTTTGAATTAATCAGACCATGGCCTTTACATATAGATGCTGCCAATAAGAATGTAGACACAGCTATATATTAACTGTTGTCTTTACAGCAAGAAATACTGTTTTACTTTTCAAATAGTTTTGAAATAGAAAAATTAAATTAGATTTATTAAGTGTTAATGCAATCATATAAGAGCAAGTTTAGGCTGGAAACGAGGAGACTGTAAATTCTAATTCCTTTTTAGGCATAAAGCCAGCTTGGTGACCTTAGACTGGTCACTCTCTTTCAGGTTTAGGAAGGAGGCAATGGCAAACCACTTTTGAAAAATGTCTATGGAGATTCTCAGTCATCCAAGTCATGGTTGTCCCAAAGATACTTTTTTCAAGAGGCAGCTGGACTTTCTTGTTTTTCTTTGAAGAAGTTTAGTTTCTCATCCAGAGCTGAATGAGAACTTCTCTTGGATGAGAAGTGAATTGTCTTCAGAGAAAAACAAGAAAATCCAATTGCCTCTTGAAAAAAGTAACTTTGGGACACTTCTGAAAAAACTTGCCAAGAAAGCTATAAGAACTTGTCCTGGCAATCACTGAGAATCAGATAAGATTGAATGAAAAAAAAAACTTATTTGTTATTATAATATATATGTTGCTTAAACTAGCAAAAGCCAAATTAGATAAAATACATAATTAACTGATTACTGTCTTTTTGGATTAAATGCTCTTAAATGTAGATTTCTCTTCCTTTCAATTAAACAAATAGTTGTATATTTACCAGTAGGTTCTGTATATAGATAGTACTTGGAAATACATTCCTTTAATATTATTACTTTTGTTCTCAGAGGCTGTCTGGTCAAGGCTATTGCTTTTCAGCCTCTCTGCCTCCCCTCCTAGCTGCTGCTGCCATTGAAGCTCTCAATATCATGCAAGAAAACCCAGGTAATTTTTCTAGAATTTAATAATTGTAGAGAATTAAGTTATATTTTGAAAAGTACTTTTGAGCTTTGAGAAATACGGATTCATATACTGACATGGATTTACTGGGTGGTTTTGATTGTCAATCACAGTTGCTGTAAGGTAATATGGGATTGCAGTTCATATTTGACTTGAACTGAGAGGTTTCAGAATGGTATCTATATTTCATACACACAAATTTATATTCACTTACGTCTATCTTTATTTCAGTGAGGAATGCATAATGTTGTAACAGTTTGCAGATCATACATGTTTACATTAAAAAAGTCTTCCTAGCAGTTTAACTGATTGTAAGAAATGTTCAAAGAGCTCCATTTCATGCAATGCACAATAGAATAGAGATAGTAATAGTATTTGAAAAATACTATTAAGTCCTCCACTCAATAATTTGCCAAAGTTAAATATACCCAAATCCTTTGTCTTTCTTCATAAAGGTTAATTTTTAGTTCTATGGACATCTGCATCACCCTATCTTTGAACCTGAACCATTTTCTCTGAACCTGCTGTGGTCCACCAGCGGCTTGCGGAGCTGGCAGCAGAGTCAGACAGTGGGGAGGAACATGGGCCAGTTCTGGAGTCTGGGGAGGGCTCGGATGAGGGATCTCTGTCCAATACAGAGATGGGGCCAGGGCCACCTGAGAGTTATGTGCTGACTCTGGAGCCTCCAGAATCTGACATCAGCGAGGCAGAGGAACAGGGGGGAGCCTGTCCCAGTGCACGCTTGCACAGAGCTGCCAGAAGGCAAGAACAGTTAAGACAAAAGGGGCGACTTGGGAGTAAGGCTTGAAAATGATTGGCCTCTCCCATAAGACATAAAGGAGGAGCAAAGAGAGATGAGCCTTTGCAGGAAGCAACTTTGTTCATTCTGGTCGGTTTAAAATTTAAAGCTCTGTGTTGACTTTGTGCTCTGTTTGGCCTTGTACAGCTAATTGGCAATTTAGTCACTGACAGTATTTCAAGGGAGTTAAAGGTGGGTGCTTATCAGCCTTATCCCGAAAGACTATGGCAGACTTCTGTTGGACTATTCATAAACTGTTTGGACTCATTACGGGCTGTGAATGCATGTAATTCGGAGCTATTGAAATAATAAAAAAGGGGTTTGGGGAACAGCATGTGATTGTTACTGTCTCAGGAAGCCTTGGTCAGAACAGAACCCTTATTAAATTGTGGTACTCAGAACTGTTCACAACAGACAAAGTGTTACCCATATTTGTTAAATACAATTCCAGATTGTTTCCGCATTTAGGAACTCAGACCCATGTTTCCAGAAATCAGATCTCTCCTGTGAAAGTCACTTATGTGACCTGTTATTGATCTATAGTACTGATAGTCCTTGACTTATGATCACAATTGAGCTCAAAATTTCTGTTTCTAAGTGAGACATTTGTTAGGCAAGTTTTGCCCTACTTCTATGACCCTTCTTGCCACAGTTGTTAAATGAATCACTGCAGTTAAATGTAGTCTCAATTGCACAGTGGACAGAAGAGCTTTAGAGGACTAACTGCCATCAGTATTTTATATCTATGCTTAACTTTCAGATTTGTTAAAGAAAGACATCCTATGAAAAGAAATTAACTTGGAAAAATCAAATCCAGCATTAGGATCTGTTACAAAAATTATATAAAATTAATAACATTAAACACTCTTAGGATGTCTTCATACAAAATTAGGTGTTGTGGCTGTTATTAAATGAATATTGTAAAAATGAGAGCAGAATGGAAGAGGCGCAGTTAAAAGATTCATAGAGAGTTTGTAGAGTTTATTTTTCCTTTGAAACTACAATCCACTTTCTTCCTGCAAGATGAAAGTGCTTGATTCTAGAGCAAGAACAGAGAATGTTTAAGATGAAGGTTACATTTGGTTTTTAAGCCTTAAGCTGAAAGTCCTATTCCAAAAATAGTTGGCATGGCATAACAAATAGTTGGCACAACAAAATTACATATATTTTTAGTTTATATTTAAAGTAATCAAATTTATAAAGCCATTCATCTTATGGAAAGCGACTCTGGGAAGTGCACAACAATTAGATAAAAACAACAAAAACAAAACTCTAAAATATAAATATCCATATTAATAAATATTACAGTGGAAGAGGCCTGCCTCAACAACTAAGCCACCTAAACAAGTTATAGCACAGAAGGCTTTTTAAAATATCCAAAGAGATGGGGCTGATCTATTTCAGAGGGAACAACGTTCCATAGGGCAAGCGCAAGGGTAGAGAAGAGATGTATTGGTATATTTTCTCTTGTGACTTTGAAAAGGTAAAAGACAGGAAGAATGGACAAATTGCAATGTAGTCTTAAATAGCTATTTAAATTGGTATGTCATGTTTAACTAATTAAATTGATATTCAAGGATTTCTTTTGTTTATTTTTTTGTTTAGGCATTTTTCAGGTTTTAAGACAAAAATGTAAGCAAACATACAAAGCTTTACAAGGGTAAGTAAATTCATTGTCATCTTATTTAAAACTTGACTTTAAAGAGAAAAATGATTTTTAAAGTGCTTACAATAAAGAAAACATTTACTGGTCTAAGCTCTATATTTAAGCTCTTTTGACAGTGGTGGGTTGCAAAGTAAGTTGCCATGGGTTTGGTAGGCATGGCTTGGTAAGTGCATTTTGCGCGCACCAAACGTGCACTTTACACAGGCTCAGAGGCTTTCCAACTCATCTGCAATCCTGCACTCTCCCTCTTGCTTCAGCAGCTGACGCGCAGCAATCTGTTGTGCCGCACGAAGCAACTGCGCTTCAAAAACAGGGAATAAAGATCAGTATGGGAGCCCGGGCGGGCGGGCCCAACAGCAGCTCCTCAGAGAGAACTGATTCACTCTCTGCTGATCTTTGGCGCTACCAGTACACCAGAACCAGGCCAAACCGGTAGAATACCACCACTGTATTTTAGTAAGAACTGCTTTTTTTTAGAATAGAATTCTTTATTGGCCAAGTGTGATTGGACATACAAGAAATTTGTCTTGGTGCAAATGCTCTCAGTATACATAAAAGAAAAGATACATTTGTCAAGAATCAAGAATCATAAGGTACAACACTTAATGATAGTCATAGGGTACAATAAGCATTCAAATCATACTAGGAAACAGTCAATATAAATCGTAAGGATACAAGAGACAAAGTTACAGTCATACAGTCATAAATGGGAAGGGATTGGTGATAAGGAGTGATGAGAAGATTAATAGTAGTAGTAGTACTGCAGACTTTGTAAATAGTTGAACAGCGTTGAGGGAATTATTTGTTTAGCAGAATGACGGCTTTTGGGGAAAAACTGTTCTTGTGTGTAGATGTTCTGGTGTGCAGTGCTCTATAGCGTCGTTTTGAGGGAAGGAGTTGAAACAGTTTATGTCTGGGATGTGAGGGGTCTATAAATATTTTCACAGCCCTCTTTTTGACTCGTGCAGTATACAGGTCCTCCATGGAAGGTGGGTTGGTAGTAATTGTTTTTTCTGCAGTCCTAATTATCCTTTGATAATTTTTACTATAGCTATAGCCTAGCATAGTGTAATTAAAAAAAACTCAACTCAAAAAATATTTTTGACTTGAAAAAAATGTATTGTAGTACATTATAGGCCGTATTTTCTTACTAAAAAGAAATATTCCAGATATTTTGGTGATATTGGTAGACATGTATTTTAAATTGTAAAGCTTAATAAACATTAGATAAAAAGTACAGCTAGTTTTCCCTGGGAAGTTATATTATTATCAGCAAAAGCAACATTAATAACAGAAATGCAATAAATCTTGAATGAAAGTTGGGACACAATTAAGATATAATTACTTTAAAAACAGGTTTCTTATTACTAAGCACCTTTACTATCTTGTTGAAAAATATCCCATTTGTATTAAGGAGGCTTAGCTCCTTTATTAATTCAGAGACTATTGACCAGTCTATTGAGGTGGAGCTATTTGAACCTCTCTTGTCTGAAAATCCCATCTGTATATCCCAGTATATTTTAAACGAGATGTCATGTACTCTGAATCTTGATTAGGGTCTTTTCAGTTCTTATCCATCAATCTGTACTTGGTTTCTCCTTTATAGCTCTAAAACTAAAATACTATATTCCAGATGTTCTGCAGAACTATTCTGGATCAGCCATGGTTCAGCCGGAACAACACCTGGAATATTTTTCTTTTCTTTTTGCTCCCAATTGTGCTTAAAATCATATCTGGAAGGATGTCATGATGTCATGATTTTTATGGGATAGTGGAGCTCTCCCCTCAATTATATGTTCCAGCATATCCTATTAAATGGGCATATCCTTCATCTTCCCAAATATCTCTTTATCTTCATTTTCCCCTTCCCTGTTTCTCATCAGCCACTGATGTTCCAGCCTGATATAACTCGATCATCTCACCTGTACCTCAGATTTCTCAATAGCTTTTTCTTTTGTGCTATCTTGCCTCTTCTCAGTTACCAAAATACTCTTGGCTTTACTCACTTTTACTTTTCTCCAGACACTTCTTCCTGGAATTAGAGGGTTGCAGTTGATATCCAAAACAAAACACTCCTGCTTTGTTTCACATCCATACTAAATATGCATGTTTGAGCATTAACCACCCAAAAGTAGCTATACCATGCACAGAACAATCTAAGCATAAATCATTTGGCATATCTCTATTTGTGATACATTTTTGTCCCGTGTATGTTTTCATTGGGTCAAAAACACGTGGCTTTCCACTGTGTTCCTTTAGAGCTGTGGTTCTCAAACATTTTGGCTTCAAGTCCCCTTAAAGTTCTTAAAAATGATCCAGGACCCAAAGAGCTTTGATTTATGTGGGTTACTTCTATCAATATATACTGTATTAGAAATTAAAATTGAGAAATGATAAAATATGTATTATTTGACTTCTTGCCCCCCTGAAAGGCTCTTGGGCATCTCCAGGGTTTCCAGACACACTTTGAGAACTGCTGCTTTAGAATATGATCAGCTTGCTTATAAAAAGCTAACTGCTGTTCTCTCACGCACTCTAGTTGATTGACCTTTTGTCTGAAAGGGCCTGTGTCTGTCTCTTTGCTTTGCTTATTCTTTTCTGACGAGATGTGTACTTGAGTCAGATGACAGTTTATTTTAAGTAACTGACGAAAGTAACATAGAAATCAACTTGAGGTTTGTATAGCAGCCTCTACAAATTCAGACTATGTTTATTACAGAGTGTTGTTTGGCCAAAACCTGAAAAAGTCAAAGCTTTGATTTGGCTGAGGTTCAAAGGTGTCTTCTCACATTATCCCAGCTGTTCTTTTTACAACCATTATTTTAGTTACTGAAATATTTTAACAAGACTGTTTTGTTGGAAATGTCTGACTGAATTCAACAATATGGATGCTTCCGAGAATAGTATATTGATTTCATGCTGTTTACCAGTAACAGCGGCGCATAATGAAATAAGTTTTTGTTTGTTATTAATTAAATATACATGTTATTTTAATTCTGGACCTGTTGTTTTATCATTATCAAATAAAAACACATCTACTGAACCAAGTAGCAATTTGGAAAGGTTTATAATAATTTCTATAACTGCCAACAGCATTCCATTGGGATTATAACTTCCCACATTATTACAAACTGATCTCCATTGATTGCATACTTATTATGAGCTTCTTGGATTCCATGTTGCTATTAAATGATTCTTTTTTAAATAGTATACTTTTGTATACTATTGTAACATGTAAATAATCAAGAAATTTATCTTGTATAAAAATCTGAATAATAAATATATTTTAGGCTCAAAATTGCCTAAATGTTAGATAATATTACTATGCTTACATTGTGGTCTTACATTACAGTTTTAACGTAGGTGCTGATTTTCTTTTGGTAATGGCTTTGTATTAACAAATAGTTTTCATAACAAATGGTATATTGCAAAATCGCAATAAATATATATTGGTACCTTTTTTTTATTCTGTTATCTTCAGAATTAAGATTTTCTACAGGTCATCCCAGCCCCTTTCCAAAATAATGGGCTTAAGTCTCTTCATGCACACCTTTGCATTGACTTTATATAATCCATTTAGGACATTGTCCACTTGCTCTCAATTTTGATTTCATTGATTTAATTCGGTTAATTAGATTATCAGTTCCGTGTTGGCAATTCTTTTGTGAATAATTGGTAGCAGTAAAAATGCATTTTAGGAGATGCCTTTTTTCTGCTCATCTTAGCTTAGAAGTATATTTATGGCATATACAACTTTTAAGTGGCTCAGTGCGGTTAAGGCTTTCAACCTGTCAATCATAAGCTAGAGCAATAGCTTCTGTAGGAGTGGGAGAAGAGATAACTGCAGAAACAATGCCTAATCATATTGTTTCAAGGAGCATGTCCAAAAGTAGTATGGTATGCCCCTTAGAATACCTAGAATTAGATGGTATCCCAGGAAAATTATCATTCATCTAATCTAGGAATGTTTTCCTTTTGACGCTTAACAAGTGTGGCTAAGACACTAAGTTTATCAATCAGCAAGGTGGGCAGTTTGGCGGTTCGAATCCCTAGCACCGCATAATGGAGTGAGCTCCTGTTACTTGTCCCCTCTTCTGCCAACCTAGCAGTTCGAAAGCATGTAAAAATGCAAGTAGAAAAATAGGGACCACTTCAGTGAGAAGATAACATTGTTCCTTGTGCCTTCGATGTTTAGTCATGCCAGCTACATGACTATGGAGACTTCTTCAGACAGCGCTGGCTCTTCGGCTTTGTAACGGAGATGAGCACTGCCCCCTAGAGCCGGAAAATGTGAGGGGAACCTTTACCGTATAGAAAAATACTGATATAGCTAACCTGAACAGGAACAGAAAAGTAGGTCAGGCAGGCTAGATAGAAGAACTATTCATGGTTTTCTACAGTTAACACTTACAACCTGCTTCATTATATACTGTTTGTTTCTACTCTTATGGAAGATTGTGGATAGTGATGTTAGTGATCAGGTCATCTGCCTTGAGGTAAAGTGTGGACTTGATTCCTACTTTGCAGCCTTGCACAAAACCAAGCAGTGTGTTACATCCAGTTCACTGTTACAGCAAAATTGTTTTTTTCAGTGACATTTATAACCCTGTGTTTAATTTAACATGGTTGCTTTTTGTAGGATTCCTGGTCTACGACTAGTGGGACAGTCGTTTTCCCCAGCATTACATCTCCAGTTAGAAGAAAGTACTGGATCTCGAGAAAGTGACATGAGGCTACTGAAAGAAATTGTAGAATATGTAAGATTTCTTTTTAAAATGTCGAATCCTTCAAAACTGAATTTGAACAAGAAACATGACCCAATAGTTTTGTGCTTTGTCATGAGACTTAAACTAAGTTGCATCAGTCTTCAATTACTGCTAGTATATTTATAAAGAGAGGACAACAAACCAAGATTATGACAACATTGTTTTGTTTCACAATATTTGCTTGTTTCAATAAACTTTACATTACATTAACTGTATTTTATTCTTAATTAAGCTATGGCATGAAACCAGAGTTGTTAGTAGCCACAAAAATTTCTATATGCTTCAAGGTACACTTACAGAAGTGCGGCCTGGATTGAAGCAAACAAGCGAAGCATAAATGGAAAGGGTATTTTTACTAATTGGAAGAAAGGAATAGTAGAGAGAACTGATTGAAGAGTGGTGCATTATTGGAAGTGGGGTGTGTGAGGGAAGAGAAAACAGCAACCACAGAAACTAGGATAAAAACTAGGTCCAAAGAAAATTCCTATTATATGTTGCCAGTATTTCATAATAAAAACATTAATGGGCAGCTCATATACTTAGCTGTATAACTGGCTGTATGTTTTGTCCCCAGTGTATGAACAGAGGTATTGCTTTAACTCAGGCTCGCTATTTGGAAAAAGAAGAAAAATATCTCCGTCCACCCAGGTTAGTAATTACTTAATTCTATTAAAATAAAACTTTCCAAGTCTTGTACTGTATAGTTGTGGCATATTATACTGGAATTTATACATTTTGAATATTTCTGCTATGTTTCTAAATTGCCATTAAATATAAACCAATTCCAGGATTCTTTTTTAATTCAGTGGCTGAACAATGGAATGTAAAAATAAGAAACAAGGTTTTTTTTAATATGAAGCTCCCTCAAACTTGATGGAATCATGAAAGGTGTTAAACTATGGTTGATACAAGTCACTCTTAGCCAGTTAAACTCAGTATTATCTATTGTTGCTACTCCATGCCTTAGAAAGTCTTGGTAGAATTAAGATAGGCTAAGGATTGATTTTAAAAGACGTGCAGATTTGCATGAGTTTGAAAGAATATAATCTCTCAAATAATTTGTGGGGCTTGGAAAATAACCACACTATTAATTGCTTAGAAAAGAAATTAGTAGCCATTAGAATTGATGTAATAAATCTGACTACAGCTTTTAACTTCAATATGTACAGGTCTAATTATATTAATCTCTAAATATTGTAAGGCTTTTTTTTTAACTGTACAGCAAATAGATGTCAATTGACTGTTTTGGTTCCTTCTAGCATACGGGTGGCAGTGACGGTAGAACAAACAGAGCAGGAATTGGAAAAAGCTGCCTCCCTTATCAGAGAAGCTGCAGAATCTATACTAAACTGAGGTTGGATTGCTTCAATTTCTGTCTCACACAATACTAGGATGCTGGTGTTTTCACAGTGTGATGACTTGCACTTCAGAGATTTAAATTATTTGGATTATCATCTGATGGAACTGAAAGTTGGACTTTATTGGGTCATTTCACACACAAAAACAGATATACAAATACTGGAACACCGAACATACACTATATAAAAGCTTGTCTCTATTTTTACATTGTTTAAATTGGGGATCAGTGTTACACTGATATTTCACTTGAGCAAGACGATGTCTCCATTCTCAAAAGTCTTTCTTTCCTTACTTTTCTAAATGCATTTTGAAATAAGTTAAAGTACATGAAAAAAGGATATAAAAGTTTTCAGAGTGCTCTTAATTTAATCATTCTTAGTAAAATATATTGTTTCGAACATTTAAAAAAAATAAAACAAAACCTTGTGGTCAAAATAGATACTTAACATGATATTATGGGATCCTATGAAATTAAGAATTTAAGGAGCTTTTATTACCCATGTATACATATTTTGTTTAGATCATTCCACCTGTGAATTTCTTGAAAACATTCGCTTTTTAAAAATCTTCGTTGAATTTAAATTGTATATCTCATTTCATTCCAGTAACATCATGAGTTGCCATTGACCTTTATTTACTATGTACTTAACTTTTACACCAGTGCTCCAGCTATTGATAATGTGCAGTCATTTAAAGCCATAATATGGACATAAAGTTACCTATTTACACTTCAGGTGGAATGTGAGTTTGTATATTAAAAGAGTTTGATGTCTTCATGAAATACAGTTTCACAGAGCTGTTGTTTGGCAGCAAGAATAAAAATCTGGCACAAAGAGAATACAACAGTAATTTGGTAAGTGCTTTAATTACTGGATAAATTAGTTTAGGAAAGGTATCTATGTTATATGTACTTACTGCTAAAAAAATTAACTAATTAGAAATTTGTACATGTCATTGCATGGAGTTCATATCATCTGTACTAAAGAATTTCCAAACTTTATACTTAGCATGTAATTGTTTGAGATCACAAAATCTTTGGCATAGATTTGCAAGATATTACAGTAAAACAACAGTCAGTAATACCAAAGAAGTTACAATATGCCAATATTCTTGTAACCTTCAAGGTAGCTGTAGCTGAGATGTTGTGATACAGGTGAAACTCGAAAAATTAGAATATAGTGCAAAAGTTTATTTATTTCAGTAATGCAACTTAAAAGGTGAAACTAATATATGTGAT